CGTCTAGCTATTCTCAACCAAGGTGTGTTATTAAATACTATTATTTTAATGCATAACTCTTCTTTTTTTTGTCTGTCGTGGGGCTTGCACTCTGGACCTGGGAGCTGTCCCTGAGCTCTTCAGCTCAAGGCTAGCGCTCTACCACTTGAGCCACAGCACCACTTGTGGTTTTCTGGTGGTTAATTGGAGATGAGTCTCATGGGCTTTCCTTCCCAGACTAGCTTTAAACCATGATCCTCAGATCTCAGCCTCCTAGCTAGTGTGAGCTACCACTGCCCGGCACTAATGCATAACTTTAAAACATCATTCTATTTTTGTTGTTGTTGTTGTATATTTATCACTAATTTGGCTCTCAAGTCTCCTTTATTTGTGCCAACCTTCTCTTTCTATGTTCAGACAAGACACATTAGATGCTTTCTGTTTTGGAGTGTTCTGGTTTTAGTTGATTTGCTCTCCAAGTTTTCTGAGTTGTATCCTTTTAATTATGTATGTGTTCATTCTTTGACATTTTGTTTTGTCACCTCTAAGTACCTTCTGGCTAGTATGTTTGGGAGATAAATTTGTGTGTATTTTTATCTTGACACACTTAATTGATAAGTGTACTTGAATTCCAGATTGTTTTTCCTTAGGATTGTGAGTGCACTGAATCATTGTATTTCCTAACTTCCAAATATTAAGGAATGTAGTTCTGGTTATTACTTGTCTGTTCCCTCCCCCAGACCTCTCTATATAATGTTTTGAAATTTCCCCAATGTCCCTTTTTGAGTATGTGTCTTTTGTTCTGCTAGTACTTTGGACTTTTATGTGTGCAAAGTCAAATTCTTCAGTTACGAACAAATAGCCTTGGATTTTATGTGGATCACTTCCCCTTCCAACTGTCTCTTATCTTTCTATTAGGTACAGTTGTTTGGATGTTGGATTTCCTGGATCAATATTCCTAATATTCTCACGTTTGCTCTTTTTTTTTTTTTTTTTTTTTGGCCAATCCTGGGGCTTGAACTCAGAGCTTGGGCACTGTCCCTGAACTTCTTTTTGTGCTTTTTTTTTTTTTGTTTTTGGTACTGGGTATGGAACCCAGGACATTGCATTTGCTAGGCAAGTGCTTTGCCACTACTAAGCTACATCCCAGGCCAAGTTTTGTCTTTTTTTTTTTTTTTGGTCAGTCATGGGGCTTGAGCTTCTTTTGCTCAAGGCTAGCACCCTTCTACTTGAGCCACAGGGCCACTTCTGGCTTTTTCTGTTTACGTGGTACTGAGGAATTGAATCCAGAGCTTCATGCAAGCTAGGCAATTACTACTGTATCACTAAGCCACATTTCCAGCCCCTCATATTTACTCCTCTCTTTTCCAAATTTTTCCTTCTGGGTGATTTCTTTTGCTTGCTGGTACTGGGGTTTGAGCTCAGGACCTTCTGCTTGCTAGGTATGTGCTCTACCACTTGAGCTATACTCCAGCCCAGTTTTCTAGTCTATTTAAGATAGGTTAGTCTTTTTTTTCCCCCTGCTCCTGTTTTTAATGTCCAAGAGGTTTTTGTTTATTTGTTCATTTGAATATGGCTTTGTTTTGGCATCTTTCCAATTTCTTAAATGTTTGGATGCTCACTTTTTAGAGTGGGAGGATAAGGGGGCTATGAAGCAGAGGCTTGTTGGCCTTTCAGACTACTGTAATCTGGTGAACTATTATAAAGTCATTGGTATTGGTATCTTTTAAGTTTTTCTCTTACACATAGGTAAGATCCTCTCAGGACTTATATATCCTGTTAACAGATAGAAGCAAGGCTTTTACCTTCTGTGAGTAGGGAAAGGCTTATAGGCTCAACCTTCAGTGCTTATACTTAAACGTAATTCCTCTTTGACATCAGGTATCCAAGCTTTTGACTGCCTGTTTTCTCCAGTACAGACACACACACACACTCACTCACTTTCTCAGATCTGATACCAGTTTTGGGAAGGAGCAGTTCTTGACTATATTTACTTTTTTTTTTAAAGTTATTCTTCTCCTTCCCCTCCCCCCAGTTCTGGGGCTTGAACTCAGGGCCTGAGCATTGTCTGAGCTTCTTTTTGCGCAAGGCTAGCGCTCTACCCTTGATCCACAGCACTACTTCTGGCATTTTCTGTATATGTAGTACTGAGGAATCGAACTCAGGGCTTCATGCATGCTAGGCAAGCACTCTACCACCAAGCCACATTCTCAGCCCTAATTTCTTTTTTTTTTTTTTTTGGGTCCTGTCATGGGGCCTGAACTCTGGACCTGGGCCCTGTCCCTTAGCTCTTCAGCTCAAGGCTAGCGCTCTACCACTTGAGCCACAGCGCCACTTCCGGCTTTTTTCTTTTTGCTTATGTGGTGCTGAGGAATCGAACCCAGGGCCTCAGGCATGCAAGGCAAGTGCTCTACTGCTGAGCCACCTTCCCAGCCCCCTAAATTAATTTTTAGGAGGGTTTATTGTGATACTTTTTTTTTTTTTGGTGCCAGTTCTGGAGCTTGAACTCAGGGCCTGGGCACTGTCCCTGAGATTTTTGCTCAAGGCTAGCACTTATCACTTGAGCCACAGTGCCACTTGTGGCATTTTCTGTTCATGTGATACTGAGGGAACCAACATGGCTTCATGCATGCAAGGAAGGCACTCCACCACTAAGCCACATTCCCAGCCTCTGTGATACTTTCTTAAGTGTAAACAATGTATCCTAGTAAATTTACCTCTTTCCCATTCCTCTCTCCCCTTTTAAGATATTTTCACTTTTTCATACATGCCAGCTTAACTACATAGGCCATATGCATCCACATTTATACTAATTGTTGCTGTCCTCTTGTGCCCAATATTCCATATTTTTACTTTTTTTTTAGAATATGTGTGTTGATTGTACCATTGGGTTTCACTATGGTATTAACTTTTTTGTGTGTACACCAGTACTGGCGCTTCACCTCAGGTCCTGGGCACTATTTGCTAGCTTTTTTGTTCAAGGCTAGCATTCTACCACTTGAGCCACAGCTCCACTTCGTGGTTTTGGTGGTTAATTGGAGATAAAAGTCTCAGTGATACCTGTCTGGGCTAGCTTTGAATCTTGATTTCAGCCTCCTAAGTAGAATTACAGGTATGAGCCAACAGTGCTCCCACTGGTACTTGCTTCTTATGGCCTTTTAACCTCTCTCTTTGCCCCTTTAACATCCTATTCAGAGTTGTCTGGTATCACCAATTCAGTTTCAGTCTGTTGATGTAATTAAGTTGATTTTCTGATTTCCCATTGTTTTGGATTTCATCTTCTTAACATTTCTGGTAGTTTTCATCTAAACACTTTACACTTTGCAAAATTTTTCCCATACTTTATTCTTGGAAGTTGTCTTTTAAAAACTGACCTTTTACTGTTTAGAAAAGTTAGCCTATAATCAATCCTAGCTACTCAGGAGGCAGAGATCTGAGGCTTGCAGTTTAAAGCCATCTGGCAGGAAAGTCCATAGATTCTTGCTTCCATTTAAGCAGCAAAAAAGCCAGAAGTTGGAGCTGTGGCTCAAGAGGTAAGGCACTTACCTTCAGCAAAAAAGCATAGGGACAGTGCCAAGGACCTAAGTTAAAGCCCCAGGACTGGCACAAAAAGTGTCAGAAGGGAACACAAGACTGTGTTCTTGAATGTGCTATCTAGGAACTGTGCAAGTCCTCTTCATATTTTTTTTCCAGCACTCAGTAAAGTAGAAAATAACAGAAGGAGTTATTTAGGAAATCTTGTTTTATTACACTAATCCTAAATTGATACCATAGTTTGAAACTTCATACATGAGCAGTTTCAGTCTTGGTTTTTGTACCCAGATTTCTTCTTTAAGACATGTTCTTTAAGGCATGTTACATACTTTAGTTTATTACTAACATCACAGTAGCTAGTTATGTTGAGTTTTGAGGATGGGAGAATTTATTGGGAATGATCCTACCTATGCCTTGAATTCTCAGTCTGCTGGCTGTTGGGGAACCCTTATGTCAGTTTCCCCACATTATTAGTGGTGGTCAGGTCTTTTGCATTTACCTTTAATTTGGTTAGTTTAAAATTTGCATCATAAATTACTTTGCTTTCTCATCAGTATAGATACAGGGTCTATCTAGTTAAATGGCTCAGGCTGTGCAGAAGCGCTGAACACACGGACTTGCCTTTTTCTTTTTTTGGGGGGGGTCCGGTCGTGGGGCCTGAACTCTGGACCTGGGCGCTGTCCCTCAGCTCTTCAGCTCAAGGCTAGCGCTCTACCACTTGAGCCACAGTGCTACTTCCGGCTTTTTTCTTTTTGCTTATGTGGTGCTGAGGAAAGAACTTGCCTTTTTCTTACACTTTAAGAAATCAGAACGAGAAGGCTAGTAGAGCTAAGCTAGGTAATGGTCTTCCCGCAAAAAAATTAGTTTTGGGAGTCTGCACAGACAAGGCAAAATTAATTACCCAGCCACGACCTCCCGGACTCGTGTGGCTGGTCGTGCTGAGTATCCCAACGGCTGCTGCCGGCTCCGGGCTCCGGGGCTTGGTGGGGCGCTCAGACCCTGGTCAGTGCTGCCGGCGGCCGGGCCCGGTGCTCGGGTCACCGGCGGGCCGCGTTGCCGGGGTCCCAGGCAACCACGGTGCGCGCGGGCTCGCATGGAGGCTTCGGCGCCGCCTTGGATCGGCACCTTCCGACTGCCTTTTCATCCTGGGGTCCCGGACGGGCGGCAGCTCTCCGACTGCAGTCAGCTTCTCCGCCGGCGGAGGAACCCGGTCGGCCTTGCCGTCCTGCTTTACGGCAAGAGTGCGCGCGTTTGCGACAGCGTGACGCAACTGAGTTTTGGCGGGAAAACCCGCTGCATTTGGATCTACGTGGTTGCGGGCCCAGGACAAGTCTGGTAAGGTTGGGCGGCCGTTGTGGTTCCCAAGTTCCCTAAAGAGCTATTTAAAGGACTAGACTCGCGAGGAAGGGCCGACTGAGAGTGTTATCGCGACGGCGGAAGGGGACGGGAAGATGCAGAGGAGGAGGGCAGTTTCGGAGAGGGATGGGTGTGACCGTAGGGAGGATCCCCCTTGCACCGGGGACCGCAGACTCCGGGCTGGCCCCCGAGCGCTGGGCGTCGTGTTTCTGGGCCCTGGCCTTTTCTCGTGATTCTCGGGGCAGTTGGCCCCGCCCCGGTTTCCTCAGGGCCCTGGCACTGGTGAGCTGGTGGTGAGAAGGAGACCCGAGCTGGTGGTAGGAGGGGCCGCCCTGGCCTTGTTCATTCGGATTCCTGCCCTTAGGCCAGATTCGCCCCTCCCTGCGCCTGGGCAAAGCTTTATTTTTTCCCTTGGGCCCTCGGGAAAGCCCAGTTCAGCTGCGTGGGGAGAATGGGGACTGTGGGTTTGACGGCAGAAACGCCTAAATTTAGGCTTAGAGTTGCATAGAAAGTGTTGGAGATGTGCGTGGAGCCCTAGAGCAGCTGTGGGGAAGCCTGTGTGGAGGTCTAGAGTAGGGTAGTGATCGGGACTTAGACTCCTTCCCCTTTTCTGGGTTGCTGCCTTTTACAGCCGGGCTGATTGGCGGAGTCATGGCAGTGCCCTTTGTGGAAGACTGGGACTTGGTGCAAACCCTGGGAGAAGGTGCCTATGGAGAGTAAGTTTGAATCCTGATTTTATCTTGCCTTCATGCTTGCTTTTCGAGCCTGCGGTCCGAGTATGTACGTATTGTTTTGTAATTGTATATTGAGGTATTTGCACTTGGAAACTGATTAGTGTGTGAAGTTACATAAGCTTTCCTTAAGGATCCACACTTTTTTTCTCTTTTACCCCTCCCCCACTCTTGTGTTTGTTCTCTTAATCTTTGTTTAAAAAAACAAAAACAACAAAACAGCCTAAGATTTGTTAAAGCTATGGTTTTTGTAACTAACCACATTGTTTTGGGGTTTAAGTGTGGTGGCTAAATGAACAAATGAACCGACCTTGGGGAAGACCTGCCTTGTTTTTTCCTTACTGGCTCCTGTTTTGTAATCCTCGGCAAGGTTTCTCATATTACTGTGTGCTTCTATTTCCTCATATATGAAAAATAATACCTTATGCCTGAGCAATTACATATCTGTAGCATGAAATTAGTAAATATTAAGGTGATGCTGTTATATCAGTAGAACATGTAAGTAATGTATATACTTGTGTATTCTCTTTTATCAGAGGTTAATGTCTTGAGTGTACAGGATAATGTCTTTTTTAAGAGTTTTAAGTATACTATTTAACAATTGAGAAAGGAATAGTATCTGTTAAGAACATGACAAATCATTAACTGGTTTCTTCTTGGTGGAGAAAGTAATAGTTTGGGATGCCACAGTTAGTCTTTTAAAGTATTTTTGTTCACTTTTTTTTTCTTTTTGCTAGCTTATCACTTTGTAGTTCACTGGCTCTGGCTCAGATCATCTTGCTTCTGAGTGCTGGAGATTATAGGGAAACCCATTAATCTTTTGAAGCTGGGATTATAGGCATGCATCATTAATCATTTGAAGTGTTAAAGGAAGTAGAATTCACATGTTGGAATGTTATAACTCTTCCTTTTCTTTTTGTAGAGTTCAGCTTGCTGTGAATAGAATAACTGAAGAAGCAGTTGCAGTGAAGATTGTAGACATGAAGCGAGCCATAGACTGTCCAGAAAATATTAAGAAAGAGATCTGCATTAATAAAATGTTAAACCATGAGAATGTTGTAAAATTCTATGGTCACAGGAGAGAAGGCAATATCCAATATCTATTTTTGGAGTACTGTAGTGGAGGAGAACTTTTTGATAGAATAGGTATGGAAAAAATTTAAATAAGATATAAAATATTGAAATATTTACTCCAGAAAATTTTCTACTAAACCAAAGTTTCTGAATTTGTATTTTTAATCTTAGGTAACTAGATGGTCAGTTTAGAATTACTTAGATAACAGTAAAATTGAAGTAAATTGTCTTTTTTTTTTGCTTTTGCAACTTGCACTGGTCTGAAAGAAAATAGTCATTTAAAGAAAACTTTTCTCAAGTTATATGTAACTTAAATGGTCTTGTTCCGGATTACAATTTAAGAATGATAACTAGTTTTATGGTGATGTATTAAAAACACCATTTTCCTGAGCGATATTTCTCTTTTTACACTTTCTAGTTTCATGACATTCTATATACTTACAGATTAAAAATAATAGCATGTTTTTATATTTCCCTTTGTTTAAGCAAAATAATTGATAATTTTCTAGGATTGCTTTAAGAACACTTTGTTATACTATTTAAATGTTCTCTGAAGATTTAAAGGATTGATTAAACAACATTGAAAAGTACATAAAATATTCTGTGGATTTAAACATAATAACATTGTATAATAGCAATGATAATTATTGTGTAATAATATTATTATAGTACTAGTGTTTGAACTTAGATCCTTGTGCTTGATGACCAACAGTCTAACACTTGAGCCATGATTCCAGTCCAGAAATTACTACTTTAAGATATAGCTTCACTGTGTAGCTTAGGCTGAACTCAACTCACAATTCATTAGCCATAGCTACCTGATTGCTGGATTATCACTGAGCAAATGAGTATCACCATGCCTAGCTTTAAATTAAGTATTTACATATGTTTTTATTAAGAATTCGTTACTATTAGAATCAAATGTCAATTTTAAGAGATAGTTGTGAGGAAAAGGGATCATTTGAGATTAAAAAGTAACTGACAAGCCAGGCACTAGTCAATGCCTAGCTACTCAAGAGGTAAGATCTGAGGATAGCAGTTTGAAGCTAGGAAAGTAGAAGTAGAGCTGTGGTTTAAGTGATAGAGTACTAGTCTTGAGTTAAAAAAAAAAAGGCTCAGAGACAGAATCCAGACCCTGAGTTGAAGTTCCAGGACCAGCACACAAAAAAAGAGCAATAACTGACAGAACATTTTTTAATAAAATTTTCTTAAAGGGACTTCACAGGCATTCATGGCTTTCTCTTGAAATGAAGTGTCATTCTGCTAAGTAGTGAAATTGGCTTAGATTGTCCTAGACTTCCACATTGCCAATTATATTTCAAGATTGAGACCACATTGGCAATTATATTTCAAAATTGAGAGACATAGTAGCATAGTGTTTGAACAACTTAAGGGAGAATGTTTACTAAGTAGACCAACATTGTCTTAGGAGTAAAATAGGAACTCTAAGATATGCCTTAATATTCTTGATTTGGATGGTTGTTTGTTATTAAGAATTTTCCCGGGCTGGGAAGGTGGCTCAGTGGTAGAGTGCTTGCCTTGCATGCATGAGGCCCTTGGTTCGATTCCTCAATACCACATAAGCAGAAAAAGCTGGAAGTGGCGCTGTGGCTCCAGTGGTAGAGCGCTAGCCTTGAGCTGAAGAGCTGAGGGACAGTGCCCAGGCCCAGAGTTCAGGCCCCATGACTAGCAAAAAAAAAAAAAAAAGAATTTTCCCATGGTCTTAGTTTAGGAAAATATGAGTTACTAAGTTAGTGTATCTTTTTTTTTTTTTTTACTATAACCTGTTGCAAAAGTACAATCATAAATGTCTAGATATAAATTAAGAAGCTATGGTTGATTATATTTTTCCAGTAAGCTAACTTTCAAAATTCCTGTAGAGCCAGACATAGGCATGCCTGAACAAGATGCTCAGAGGTTCTTCCATCAACTCATGGCAGGGGTGGTAGGTACAGTTACCTCTTTTCCTTAAAGTTAGTATGAATAAAGCAAGTTGCCCATTTCTAGTATGTCTCTACTTTTTCCTTAGGTTTATCTGCATGGTATTGGAATAACTCATAGAGATATTAAGCCAGAAAATCTCCTTTTGGACGAAAGGGGTAAGTTTTAGCATTTTGTCATTGCTACATTTCTATATAGACACACAGAGCAGCCATATCTATTGAATGAAAGAATTTAGGTGACTAAGGAAGGGTCAAATCTAACAAGTTGTTTTCTTGTTTTCATTTTTTTTTTTTGCCACTGCTAGGTCTTGAACTCAAGCTCACTTTTGGCTGCTATTCTACCACCTCTACTTCTGTTTTTTTTGCTGGTTAATTGGAGATAAGAGTCTTATGTTTTTTTTACTCTAGTTGGTTTTGAATCACAGTCCTCAGATTTCAACCTCCTGAATAGCTAGGATTATAGGCATGAGACACCAGCACTCGACTATTCTCTTTATTAATTTTGGTCATTTTCAGATAGAGAAGTTCTTCAAACCTCAAGTATCACCATTAATATTTCCAATGAAAACAACCTTGTAAGTACATATTTGTAAATCTCTTTTTACCCAGTACTATAGCCTCTTTTTGTTTTGTTTTTGTTTAGATAACCTCAAAATCTCTGACTTTGGCTTGGCCACAGTATTTCGGCATAATAATCGTGAGCGTTTGTTGACGAAGATGTGTGGTACTTTACCTTATGTTGCTCCAGAACTTCTGAAGAGAAAAGAATTTCATGCAGAACCAGTTGATATTTGGTCCTGTGGAATAGTACTTACTGCAATGTTGGCTGGAGGTAAGCACAATTTAGTTATGCTAAACTTCTGAAAGTTAGACTTACTCTACCAAAATAAATCCATATTTATTTAATAGTATTTGAGTAGTGTCTTAATCACCTTGGGCTGCTATAATAAGATATCACGGACTGAGTGGTTTATAAGTAATAGAGATTTATTTATCTCTTAAAATTCTGGAGGCTGGAATCTGGGATGAAAGTGCAAACATGGTCATGTTCTAGTAACATTTTTCTTCCTGGCTGCAGAAGGCCATCTTACTGGGTCCTCACATGACATAGAGCAAAGTGAGTAGAAGGAAGCTCTCTAGTGCTTTTTCTTAAGAGCACAGATCCTGTCTATGAACACTCCCACTGTCTTGGACCTAATCACCTCCAGAGATAACACCTCCACATATCCTATTGTGGGTTAAAATTTTAATATAGGAAGTTTGGGAGGGTGGGGAGAGTATAACCTGCAAGGGTTTTTTGTTTTAATTGAGATATTTACAAATTAGCATACATGGGCTGGGAATGTGGCTTAGTGGTAGAGTGCTTGACTAGCATGCATGAAGCTCTGGGTTCACTTCCTCAGTACAGAAAAAGCTGGAAGTGGTGCTGTGGCTCAAGTGGTAGAGCACTAGCCTTGAGCAAGAGAGGCTCAAAGACAGTGCCTAGGACCTGAGTTCAAGCTCTAGGACTGGCAAAAGCAAACAAACAAACAAACACACAAAAAACCAAATTAGCATACATTAGCTATACAGAAGATTTCATTATGGTATTCCCATACATGTATACAAAGTACCCTATCTACATTATCACCTCTATCAGTCTTCTTTATCTTCCCCTCCTAGTGGTTTTTAAATGAGATATAGTTATGAGGTAAAAATTACAATGGCTATCTCTCTTAAGATAACATCCCCCTCAAAGCCCTCTGGAGACCAAACCTAAGGTCTTACATATGCTAGGCAAACACTCTGCCACTGAGCTTACTATTTACTACCCCAGGGCTCCATTTTTAGAGCAAGGAATGAATCATCTATCTTTGGAGCGTGACCAAGGCTCTGTGAAATAGTTTCTTAGTTGGAAAACTATATTGAATTATAGTAGAGGCAACATTTTATGGATTTGTATGATTATTTTTCTGTGATCTCTTTACTGTATATATACTTATTCAAACACTCAGAGAACTGTTTTTCATTTTTAGAATTGCCATGGGACCAGCCCAGTGACAGTTGTCAGGAATATTCTGATTGGAAAGAAAAAAAAACATACCTCAACCCTTGGAAAAAAATCGATTCTGCTCCTCTGGGTAACTGGGTTATCTTTATTGAAAGTATTGATGTCCTGGATAATGAAGCCTTGTGCTATTTGAATTTTTTTCCTTACATTCCTTTTCTGATTTAACTTTTAGATAGTTAGAAAAATAACCTTTGGTACTTTTTAGAAAATGTAAATAAAAATTAAGAAAGAAAACCCCCATAATTCCAGCACTCAGAAACAATAGTTTTTTAAAGAATATTCTGATATGTTCTTCTGTACTTTGTTGTAAGTACATATAACGTGTGTGTTAAATATGTGTTATTTGTAAGTACATGTGTTTTAGAAAAAAATTTATCTTACTGCATGTATTTTATAATATTTTTTATTTTAATGCTCTCTGACCATTTTCCTATGTCTTCAATTATAGGTATCCATTGTTTTTAAAGGCATCATTCTGCCATGTATGCCTTATTTTTCCAGATCATTCTGTTGAAGATTTAGATTTTTTGCCCCCAAATTTTCATTTAGAAAAGAGACTTGATAGGCATCCATTAATCTGAGTCTGAATCAGAAGCAAAACTGTAGGATTAAAGGTATATGTAGTTTTTTAAAGTATTATGGTTTACCTTACTAAATTATGTTCTAAAAATGTGTACTATGTCATGAGTCTGTCAGTTTACATTAAAAAAAAAAGTTTTTACTATGGTGCTGTTTTTTTAATACTAATGAAGTTGAATTACCCCCCCCCCCTTTTTTTTGGCTAGTTTTTTCTTAATTTCTGCAAGGGGATTTATGTTTTTCCTTTGAGGGCTTGTATCCTTTGACCTCTACATTTGTTACAAAGTATTTTCCAAAATGTATAATTTATCTTCATTTTTGTTCATTTTGTTATTGAAGAAGTACTGTATTTCTCAAATTAATAATCTTGTCATTTTTGGTTTCTGACTACATTCTTGTTTTCTCCTTCTAATATTATACATAAAAATGTTTTCCTATGTTTCGATGTAGTACTTTTATGGCTTCATTTTTAAATTGAAATTTTTTGGCATATTAGATAATTTTGGTATTGGGAAAAGCATGAATTTTTAAAATTTATTTTATTTTTGAGACAAAGTCTTACCAGAAAGTCATTGAACTTGCTAAATAATACAAGCTGGCCTCAAATTGACCTTTCTGCTTTTGCTTCCTAAATACTGAGATTAAAGGTATAGGCCAGCATGCCCAGATTATATTAATTTTTTATTGTAAGTATAGACAGCAGCAATGAACAACTGTGTGAAATTAAAACAACAATATGGCAACTTTATTCTTTCCCTTCTCCAGAAATCATATGCAGACTTAGGCCCAAAAAGAATGTATTCCAGCTGGATGCTGGTGGCTCATGTCTATAATCCTAGCTACTCAGGAGGCTGAGATCTGAGGATCACAGTTCAAAGCCAGCCCAGGCAGGAAAGTCTGTGAGAGTCTTACTTCCAATTAACTACCAGAAAATCAGAACTGGTGATGTGGCTCAAGGTGGTAGAGCACTACTAGCCTTGATTCAAGTCCCACAACCAATACACACACACAAAAAGAATGCATTCCTTACTGTAAGCCATAGACTTTTCTAATTAGCTCACTCTTTTGTAAACATTTCCTATGTTTCATTCTCAGCTCTACTTCATAAAATCCTAGTGGAGAATCCAACAGCAAGAATTACCATCCAGGACATCAAAAAAGATAGATGGTACAATAAGTCACTCAAGAAAGGTAATTTTCTTAAAAACAAAAGCATTTTCTCTAGCTATGATAACATGGAAAATATAATTTCTGGAAGAGAAAACAAATATAAAGAGTAATTTTATTAATAACTACAAATGAGAAAGTTGGGATACTAAAGCTAATTGTGACCAAGTCTTAGGGGAAAAAGAAGACTTTCCTTCCTGAGAAAATGATAGGAAATTTGAGATTTGAAGATTAAGAAAATGACAAGGGCTAGGAAGGTGGCTCTGGTAGAGTGTTTCCTTGCATGAGGCCCTGGGTTTGATTCCTCAGCACCACATAAGCAGAAAAAGCTGGAAGTGGCACTGTGGCTGGAGTGGTAGAGCACTCACCTTGAGTTGAAGAGCTGAGGAACAGCACCCAGACCCAGAGTTCAGGCCCCATGACCAGCAAAAAAAAAAAAAAAGAAAAGAAAATGACAAGAACATATATTTAGTTTCAAAAGATCTTTTGGGAGCTAAGTACTAGTGGCTCACACCTATAATCCTAGTACTCAGGAGGCTGATATCTCAGGATCACAGTTCAAAGCCAGCCCAGGCTAGAAAAGCCCATGAGACTCATCTCCAATTAACTACCAGAAAACTGGAAGTGGTGCTGTGGCTCAAAGTGGTAGAGTACTTGGCCTTGAGCAAAAGAGCTCAGGGATAGTGTCTAGGCCTTGAATTCAAGGCTCATAATCAACCAAAAAAAAAAAAATCTTTTGGCTACTAGTCTTTCTTCATCCTCATCATCATTAATAGTATTTTTGTATGTCAGTGTGTGTAAACTCAGGGCCTTACATTATTGTTAGGCTTTTTTAAGGCACTTTTGGCTTTTTGCAGGTTAATTAGAGATGAGTCTAGCTAGGCTGGCTTTGAACTTCCTAAGAAGCTAGAAAACAATTCTGGAAGTGTTTTTTGTCTTTTAATGAATAGGAAGAGGCTGAGTGATACAGGCTTTTACAGTAGTGGCTTAGATGTGAGAAGATAGGAGCTCATAGTGGGTGATTAGTACTGGCATTAGAGAAAAGGTGGATTATTCCAGAGCTGTTTATGAACTTGAATTGCTAGGAGTAGTGAGGTCTCTTACACTTCGTTTCTGATAACTAGGAGGAAAAATAGATTTAGGGAGAAATTTAATTTGTTTTTAGACATATTAAATTTGAGAACCTAAGTAAAACTTGCTCATTAGAACTGTGTGTGTGTGTGTGTGTGTGTGTGTGTGTGTGTGTGTGTGTGTGTGTGTGTGTGTGTGTGTGTGTGTGTGTGTGTGTGTGTGTTTAAAGAGGTAGGACTTAGTAGACTTGAGGCATCACTTTGGGAAATTTAAACCAAGGGATTTTCAGAGGGTTTTAAAAGTGGGGGAAAGAACATCTGGAGAATATTGTAACAGAGGCTAAGGGAAGGAAATAGATAACGTTGGCAGGGACTGTTAAGTAAATTCATAATAAGAATCCTAAATTTTCCATTGGATTCCACTGGTGGTTTATTCATGATCTTAACAAGAACAGTCTCAGTGAAAGTAGTACATTCTGGAGCACATTGAAGTGTATGGGAGATGTGAGCACTGTGAATAAGGGGAAATGGGAGAATGGGAATTTAGAGACAATAAGGAATTTTTATCTTTTTGTTCTCATTGAAGGCCAGCTCACCCCTGAGGATACTGCCTCTCTAACCAGTGCATGTTTTCTTTCCCACATCTTGTCCTTGGGTTTGGAGATGGAGCAATAGATATCTTTATTCAGTCTTCTTATGTTCCTCCCTCTTCCATTTAAAACCTCATCTTATCAGACTATCATTCATTATTCTCCTCATACTATAATCACCTTCTGAATGAGTTAGGGTATTAAAGGGATCATTCTTTCCAACGTGACTTGTAATTTTGTCTTTTACTTTTTATTTTTTTATGTAGACCAGGCTGACCTCAAATTTGTTATCTTCCTGCCTCATTCTCAAGTGGAGTGCTAGGATTGTAGACATGAACCACCATGTCCAGCTTTGTTATGGCTCTTAACAATTTGTGAATATTCATTTCAATGATCCTTTCTATATCCTGAATTCATAATTTCTTGACTTCTCTCCTTTGATACTCTAATCTTCAGATATCCTGCTGTGATACCAGTATATCTTATTTCTGGCTTCCTTCCTCTAATAATCCTTGATTATATGTGGATATAGAATACATTATACTTTCTTTTCACTTTTTTATTTGCCCCTACATCCATTAGTTCCATATTTACCTATCTAAAATTCAAAGATCAGTCATTGTGAATGACTTCTTTGCATTCCTCTTTTTTTTTTCCTTTTTTGTGCCAGTCCTGAGCTTGACCCATGAACTCCAGGTCTAGACACTGTTCCCGAGCTTTTGTGCTCAAGGCTAGCACTCCCACTTGAACTACAATTTAATTTCTAGCTTTTTGGTGGTTAATTGGAGATAACAGTCTCATGGGCTGTCCTGCCTGGGCTGCTTTTGAACCTGATCCTCCTGACTAGCTAGAATTATAGGTGTGAGCCACCAGCACCTGGTACATTCCTCATTTTCTACTTTTCCTTTTTTTGTTATTGTTGTTGGTCGCGGGGCTTAAACTCTGGGCCTGGGCTCTGTCAGCTCTTCAGCTCAAGGCTAGTGCTCTACCACTTGAGCCACAGCGATACTTCCAGTTTTCTGGTGGTTTGTTGGAGATCAGAGTTTCACAGACTTTGCTGCTTGGGCTGGCTTTGAACCGTGATCCTCAGATCTCAGCCTCCTGAGTAGCTAGGATTACAAGTGTGAGCCACCAGCGCCCAGCTTGTCCTTGTTTTTTGTACATCAAACTCAACCCATTTTTTTTTTTTTTTGGAGCTAGTCCTGGGGCTTGAACTCAGGGCCTCAGCTCTGTCCTTGAGCTTCATTTTGCTTAAGGCTACTTCTCTACAGCACCACTTCTGGCTTCTCTGAGTAGTTTATTGGAGATTACAATCTCATAGACTTTCCTGTGTGGGTTGGCTTCAAACCACAATCCTCAGATCTCAGCCTCCTGACTAGCTAGGATTATAAGTATGAGCCACCAGCACCTGGCTTCAAGCCAAATTTTTATCTACTCTATCCTCATACCTGTTAATGTTGGAGAAATACATATTCAACAATGATCATTTTAATTCAGAATCTAATCTGAAATGGGCCTTTAATGCTGCTAGTATTTATATTGTCTTTCTCTATTACTTTTGAGAATTTTCTAGTAGAAAAAGGAAAACTAATGAAGCCAGAGAAAGAGACGAATTGCAAGTAGCAAGAGTTGATTTATCTGTGGAACAATTTATCTATAGTCATAGGGCACACAATAGGGTCTCTGTGGGTAGAGATGATGGTGGGAACTTGCAAAGTTCTATTCAGCTTGCTTCTGTTCCTCAGTGAAATAGGAAGTATCCACAAACTCAGATGAGGGAAGTACTGACAGCAAAAAAAAAAAAGTTCTGATTATTTAGCTAGATCTTTGTCTTTATAGAACATCATGTGTTAACTATAAAAGAGGCATTAAAATTGTTGCCTTGCCAGGCACTGGTAGCTCATGCCTATAATCCTAGCTACTCAGGAGGCTGAGATTGTGCTGGAAATTCTATGACACTCTTTATCTCTAATTAACACGTAAACACATGCATGCACACACATATATATACACACACAAAGCCAGAAGTAGAGCTGTGGCTCAAGTGGAAGAGCGCTAGCCTTGAACACACAGAGAGGCTCAGGGACAGTGCCCAGGCTCTGAGTTCAAGCCCCAGGACTGGCAAAAATAAACAAATAAATGTGGCTTTAGCATTATAACTCTACATTTGGACCATACAAGTCACAATTTATGAAGTTTGGGAAGTTATAATTGACAAATCTTAATTTATTATTTGGCTACATTTCTTGTAAAATTATGTAAAAAAAAGAGCCTATCTTTGTCTTACATAACTACTGCATGTTTAATACTTAGAGTTAGTTGTGGTTTTATGAATTCAAATTGCCAGTAGGGTTAGTTAGTCAAAACATATCTGCATAAAAATTTATATTTGTTTTATTTTTCAGGGGCAAAGAGACCCCGAGTCACTTCAGGTGGTGTGCCAGAGTCCCCTGGTGGATTTTCTAAGCACATTCACTCTAATTTGGACTTCTCTCCAGTAAACAATGCTTCTAGGTAAGAGTGATAAAATTGAAGTAGTTATTGAATGTAATATTCCCTATTAAATGCTAATATAGTATATGTTTTTCTTAATAATGACCATAATTTTATCATTGAGATTGATTATGTGATATAAGAAAGGTCTGATTGGCTTTACTTAATGGTATACTTTCAACTCTGTGAAGTAGTGTATGTCTCTAGTCCCAGCCATTTAGGAGCCCAAGGGGAGGGACTTGTGACCTCAAGGCCTTGCCTCAAAAAACAAAATAAATGAATAGTTGAAAAAATAATAAAACTTGGTTTTATTTGGTGTACATAGGGTGATAATGCATCCAGGTAACTCGAGGGGATGGGTGGGATTGGTAAAGTTTGGGGAGATCAATGGAAGGGGTGACATTGATCAAGATGTGTACAACTAAAGATACCTTTTAAAAATTATGCTAAAAACATAAAAAAGAAATGCTTAAAAACCCTTTTTGCCTTATCTTAATGTTTCAGTGAAGAAAACGTGAAGTATTCTAGTTCCCAGCCAGAGCCACGGACAGGTCTGTCCCTATGGGACTCCAGTCCCTCATACATCGATAAATTGGTACAAGGGATCAGTTTCTCTCAGCCCGCATGTCCTGATCATATGCTTCTGAATAGCCAATTACTTGGTACCCCAGGATCCTCACAGGTAACAGAACTTAAGTTTCCAAATTAATAGTGGTTGCTGTTGATTTTTATTATCTCAAGTCTTTTTCTTTTTTTATCTTTATGTGGGAACCTGGTATATAGCATTAATACTTATAATTTATACATTTTTGTTTTTTTAAATAGTTATGATTATTTTTAGTCACAATGGATTCATTTAGCTTTCTTATTTGACTTTAGAATCCCTGGCAGCGCTTGGTGAAAAGAATGACAAGATTCTTTACCAAATTGGATGCAGATAAATCTTACCAGTGCCTGAAAGAGACTTGTGAGAAGTTGGGCTATCATTGGAAGAAGAGTTGTATGAACCAGGTATGTTTCACTGATTTTTTACTGTCTTTTTTTTTTTTTTTTATTGTGAAAATACCATACAGAGGGGTTACAATTACACGGGCAAGGTAGTGAGTATATTTTCCTCCTTTGTTTCCCCTTCCCATCCCTTCCCATCTCTCACTGTGCACCACCCCCTGCCAAAGTTTGTAAAGTTCGTTTTTCGACATAACGACTTGTACATCTCATTGTTGCAATGGGTCCACCTCTATCCCTATTTAAACGATTTGTTTTTGCCCTTCCCCTCCACAAATTATACCAATATCAAATACAGTGAGAGCAGGGGTTATACCGTGGGGGAGGGATCACTGTGTCTTTATGAAGAAAATTATGTTATTATGAAGATAATTAAATATTTGAATAAAAACTAGCAATGAATAAGGAATGATTTTTTTTTTTTTTGTCTTTTGTGCTGGTACTTGGACTTAAACTCAGGGTCTGATAACAGTTCCTTAGCTTTTTGCCTAAGGCTGGCCCTCTACACTTAAACCACAGCTCTACTTCTGGCTTTTGGGTAGTTAATTGGAGATAAGAGTCTCAAAGACTTTGCTCCCTTGCCTGGTTTTGAAATATGATCCTCAGATCTCAGCTTCTGAGTAGCTAGAATTCCTGGCATAAGCCACTGGTACCCAGCTAAATAAGACGTTCTTTATTTTAATAACATTTCTTCAAAAACTGGTTGCAGTTTGTTATTTGCTGTTGTACCAGTACTGGGGTTCATCTCCTGATCCTACCTACTAAATTTTATTGTTTCTATTATTATAATATAGTTACATACATTGACATCCTAATCTGTCTTTAGCTTTTAAAAATGTTAATGTCATGAAAGACAAATACTGGGGATTATTATGTACTAAAGGAAACTAAAGCAGCCTGATAACCACATGCAATGCATGATCTTTCAGTAAATAAGATTTCTTTTATTTTTGGTCAGTCGTGGGATTTGAATTCAGAGCCTAAGTGCTTCATTGAGTTTTGGTGCTTGATCAAGGATAACATTCTCCCACTTGTGCAACAGCTCTATTTACTGCTTTTATATGGTTAACTGGAGATGAGCATCTCATGGACTTTCTGCCATGTGAATGGCATTTATCCTTGATTTCAATTTAACATGTTGGTCTGGTTGTCTAGTGCTTCCTGATCAGAGACACCCTTTATTATTACCATACCTTTATCATCCTGCATCTCACTGGTTCTCTTCCACAGAATTCATATTCTTACAGATTAATTTGGGTTAGATATACACATTGAATGAGATTTTCAGCCTACATTATATAAAACTTAGTGAAGTATTCTATAAAATTTTAGTTATGAAGTATTATTAACCTGAGATACAGATTTTATTTAGAATATTATTTTGCTCACAAATGTAGCTTGACCTTATTTTTATTGCCATAGGTTACTGTATCAACAACTGATAGAAGAAACAATAAACTGATTTTCAAAATAAATTTAGTAGAAATGGATGAGAAGATATTGGTTGACTTCCGGCTTTCTAAGGTATTATTTTAATATTCTTTTTTACAGAAATATTTCTATATGTTTCTCTTTTTTAAATTGGCAGTATTGTGATTTGATCTCAGAGCTTCACACTGGCTTAGCAGATGCTTTAGCGCTTGAGCTATGCTTCCAACTAAATTTTTAAAATGGTAGTATATTTTGTATAGAGTTATCCATCTGCACTTTAACTTCGTATAGTTTCAATTACTTAAGGACATCTATAGTTCAAGAATATTAGGGTTCCAGAAAGAAACAGCTGATTAGTTTTTAGTTGATTATGGTTTGGAGTGGCATGATGAACTCTTACTGCCGCACTCCATCCCACCCCAGATGCGAGTCCTCCTTTCTCCAGCATATAAAAATCTTACGCATAGATTTCTGTTATATAGTACTTATCTACTACTCACTTAGTGCTGATTTGATTCTCAGGTTGATTGTTTCAATGTTACAATACTTTTGTGGCTTCCATTTTCTTTTTTTCCTTTCTTTTTTTGTTGGGGGGGGAGGGAGGGCTGGTCGTGGGGCCTGAACTCTGGGCCTGGGTGCTGTCCCTCAGTTCAAAGCTCAAAGCTAGCACTCTACCACTTGAGCCACAGCGCCTCTTCCGGCTTTTTTTTTTCTGCTTATGTGGTGCTGAGGAATCAAACCCAGGGCCTCAAGCATACAAGGCAAGCCCTCTACCACTGAGCCACCTCCCCAGCCCCGTTATAATACTTTTATATAGTAAAACTTAGTTGTGGCCCCAAAGTGCAAAGGCTGTAATTTTGTTACAGTGTGTTGTTGTTTTGCTTTATTATTAGCCATTGCTAATTCCTTACTGTCCAGTAGGGAGGCTTAAACTCAGGGTCTCATACATGAACCAGTGCTTGAGTCCCAAGCCCCTTATGATTTAGTTATTTTTCTAGTAGGATTTCATAGATTTGTTTGTTTGCTTGGGGCTTTTTGCCTGGGCTAGCCTTGGATCAGGATCTTTTTTTTTTTTTTTTTTTGCTGTTCCTGGGGCTTGAACTCAGGCCCTGGGCACTGTTCCTGGGCTTCTTTTGCTCAAGGCTAGCACTCACCACTTGAGCCACAGCGCACTTCTGGCTTTTTCTGTTTATGTGGTACTGAGGAATCAAACCCTGGACTTCATGCATGCTAGGCAAGCACTCTACCACTAAGCCTCATTCACAACCCATGAATCAGGATCTTTTTACTTAGCCTCCTGCTTCTGTGCAGCTGAGATGACAGGCATGCACCATTACACCAGCTTTTCTGTGTAGGTATGGGTCTTGCTGATTTTCTGTCTAGGCTGGCCTGAAACCATGATCCTCTCAATCTTCATCTTCCAAGTAGCTTGAATTACAGTTGTAAGCCACTGTGCCTGCCACCTTTAATATTTTCAGACATTTTGCTTATTTTCTTGGTTCATATAAATGTATGTCTTTTAAATAAAAATTAAGATTCATAAGATGTTTGTACATTATAATTTATTGAAGTTTTAGTTTATAGTTAATATTCTCATAGATTTTTCTTCACATTTCTGGTTATTTTTCGTTTTAAAATTCTTGATATTTAAGACTAAATAATGTTTTGTGTATGTGGCTCTAAAGAAGGTTGAAGAGCTAGTTACATTGTTTTTGGATTGAATGTTTATTAACAGTATTGTTTTATAGATGCTGGTATGGAATTAAATTATGAAGGACTATAATAAAATGCTTCTCATAACTGAATCTTGGCTTTGTTGCCATGGTAGTGTGGCAAGACTTGAATGTAGTTTTGTAGTTTCTTTTTGATTATAGCAAACAATGATTTAGGCCCAGAGATATTAACCCTTGAAGCAGGATGTCTTTTTTTTTCTACTCTGAATTTATAGAGCGGTGAGAACAGAGTCAGGTCAGATTGGTTTTTTTGTTTTAGTGTTTGTAGAATTTGAACTCAAAGACTTGCCAAAATTATGTAGCTATTTCCTTTATCGGAATATCTGATCTTTATAATAGTCATGAATCTGGTGGCCCAAACCTGTAATCCTAGCATTTGTGAGGTCAAAACAACAGATTTCAGGTTTGAGGCCAGCATGAATTGCATAGAAGACTGTTTCAAAAAATGTATTAGCTGGTTGCCGATGTCTCACACCTATAATCCTGGCTACTCGGGGCTGAGATCTGAGGATTGGGATTTAAAACTAGTCTAGGCAGGAAACTCTTATGAGATTCTTATCTCCAATAAATTACTCAGTAAAAGCTGTAAGTGGCACTGTGGCTCAAGTGGTAGAATACTACCTTTAAATAAAAGAAGCTCAGGATAGCACCTAGGCCTGAGTTCAAGCCCCAAGACTGGCCAAAAGAAAAAAATGTACTGAAGTATGGCTTAAATGGTAGAATGCCTGCCTAGCCAATACAAGGCCTGAATGAATGCCAGTCACACCAAAAGAATAAAGAAAAAAAGAGGACCACAAGGGTATTACAGCTGGACATATCTGGCATCTTTGTTTCTGCTTACTAGTAAAGAAAAAATGAGGGCTGGGAAGGTGGCTCAGTGGTAGAGTGCTTGCCTTGCATGCCTGAGGCCCTGGGTTCGATTCCTTAGCACCACATATGCAAAAAGAGAAAAGCCGGAAGTGGCGCTGTGGCTCAAGTGGTAGAGCACTAGCCTTGACCTGAAGAGCTGAGGGACAGCGCCCAGACCCAGAGTTCAGGCCCCATGACCGGACCAAAAAAAAAAAAAAAGAAAAAATGAACTTTGTGGCACAACTTGTTTTTTGACACCTGTTTTAATATATTATTCCTAATATAGGGTGATGGATTGGAGTTCAAGAGACACTTCCTGAAGATAAAAGGGAAGTTGAGTGATGTTGTGAGCAGCCAGAAGGTTTGGCTTCCTGTCACATGATCCATTTGCTGTGGGATTCCTGGTGAATATAGTGCTGCTTTGTTGACATTATTCTTCCTAGAGAAGATCATTCCATTATGCAAACTGCAGACAGTAGTTCCTGAAGAGTTTTCTTCTCCTCTGTCCAAAACTCAATTATTTGTATATTTTACATATAAATATCCATAATATTTATAATAATGGATCAAATTCATTAGATATTTCTTCAGATGTGTGTAGTGTCTAAATTTGAAACCCATCTGGTTGAAACTCAAGTATCTATCATCAGATATCTACTTGAGTTGACCAGCTTTTGTGACAACATAATATCCCATTTTTATAGTTTTTTTCATCCAAAAAGCACCTATTTTCTCCATACTGGCTTAATTATAAGGAAAATTTGTCAAAGACTGATCCCTGTGACTTTTGGACAATGGACTTGCCAATTTGTGAAGAAAGGCAAGCTTAAAAGAATGTATCCCAAAACTTTGTACTATATTTTCAATTTTAGTAAATGTGCTGCTGAAGCAAGCCCTGTACATTTTCAAAAGGGTTTGACCAGTAATATAAAACTGTTAGAATGATTAAAACTTTAAGTAGGTATTTTTTCTTTTTAGTTAGTCAAATATAAGATACTGGTTGATCTTTCAAAAAGTTGAGCATACATTCTAGGGCTTAACTGACTCTAAAAATTACTGTTGCACATCTTAAATATTTTTCTATATTATTTCTTACTTTCATGGCCATATTTTAATTCTTTACTACAGAAATAAATTCTATTTTGAAAATGAATATCTAACTCTGTGATCTTATTGGTGACCAAACTTCTAGGAATTATGGAATGAAAGAGAAGTGGGGAGTAAGAAAGCTATCATAGGAAAAAAAATAAATAAATAAAAATTAAAAAAAGAAAGTTATCATAGGAATAATTCTGATTCCTCATTAGACTTACTAAAAACTTTTTCTAACAAATTCATATTGAATTTTTTTTTTTTTTTGGGTCCGGTCATGGTTCAGAGTTCAGGCCTGGGCACTGTCCCTCAGCTCTTCAGCTCAAGGCTAGCACTCTACCACTTGAGCCAGCTTTTTTCTTTTTGCTTATGTGGTGCTGAGCAATGGAACCCAAGGCCTCATGCATGAAAAGCACTCTACCACTGAGCCACCTTCCCAGCCCCCAAATTCATATTGAATTTTGAATCTACTTCTGTTTCTAGATAAATTATTAATTTAATCAGTTATTTTAGTCTGAAGTAAAACACATTTATGATTAGAGTTTGTTCTGTAGTTTATACTGGCACATTGTGTTACTATAATTTGCACAGAAGAATAATAATGATTTCTGCATATATTTTCAGTTTATTTAGAGGGTTACCAGTAATTGAACTAATACATTCCTAAGCTGGGAGGAAAATTGTGGAGAATTTTGTGGCAACCACTATCAATCTGTTGAAACTAAAGTTATCTAAGTCTTTTTCCCTAAGCTCTTTTAGCTCTAGCCACTTGATGTTTATTTCCACTTGGGTGTCTTAAAAGACATTTCCTAGACTAAAACAGCTTTCAGTTCTTGCCCTCCAAACCCATTCCTTTCCCAATTTCTTCCAACTCAATAAGTTATATTTTCAGCTTCCCAAGACTCTAAGCAATAATCCTTGATACTTTCCTCCCGCATAGTCTACATTTAGTTCAACAAGCATTGTTCAGTTCAGCAGCTGTATATCCTAATCCACTCAGGTTTGAAGCAGACATCTCTTTTCATATTTCTTGTTCCTTCAGCAATTTGCTTCTAGAGTGATCTCTCTAAAGTGTGAATTCCATTTCCTTGCCCCTATTGCCAATTCTTAATGATTTCATCACACTTAAAAGTTCAAAATTCTGTCTCAACTACACAAGTTTATGTGAATGTCCTCTGGCCACAGGAATGGCTTCATCTGCTACTCCTTATTCATTCTGCCCTAGCTTTGTTAATATTCTCAACTAGCACATTCCCTCCTCAGGGTCTTCTTACTTATTGCTCCTTTTACCTGTAGTACTTTAGTCCCAAATATTCATGTTTTATTTTGGGGCTCTACTTAAATGCCATTTACTCTGCGAAGTCTTTCTCAAACTTACCTAAAATAGTCTCCCTCTGTCATTCTCTTTACTTTTTAGTATAGTATAGTATAAAGCATAATACTTTATTATTTTTTCCTTCAGTGCTAGAGATCAAACCTAAGCCTTCTCACACATGCTGGGAAAGCACTTTACCTCTGAGGCATATCCCTAGCCATGATGTGGGATATTTTTATTTATTAAATATATGTTTCCTTATTCGAGTATGTAGTATGTAAGCTCCTTGAGGTCATGGATCCTGTCTGATCAGGTCTGTATATCATTCGAGATCAGACGAGATCGGGCGCGTTCAGGGTGGTATGGCCGTAGACTCAGGTCTGTATGTCTAGTGCCTAGAATAGTTTCTATAAATTATGGCACACAAAATGAATATCTGTTTAACAAATTACTCTTGGACTGATCTCATCTACCTTAAATAAGTGTGTGGGTTCATTTTTATTTCTACTGCTGCCATTCTAGTTCAAGCTCTTTCAACCCTAGATTTGTTCATTGCCTAGCCCTTTTCCCCTCAATCTTTGTATATTGCCCTAAATCATTACTTTTTAAATATAAATTGTACTGTGACCCTCTCTTATATTAAAACTGGACCATAAACTCTACTTTGACCTACCTAGCTCTTCATGGTTCACTCCCTGGCCTCTACTTACAGCACTCCAGACAGTTGCTTTCTTTTTGTGCATTGAATATACCGAGGCACATTCCCTCTCAGAGCCTTGAGGCTTACTGCTCCCTACACCTGGAACCCCTTCCAGTAGATTACATGACTGACTATTCAAATCTCAGCTCAAATGTTTCTATCATACCTAGCCCATATCATATTATTCTCTTCTCTTTTCTTCACAGAACTAGTCACTATCTGAAATGACCTGTTTATAGCCTGCTTCCCCAACCAAAATGTAAGCTTAACCTTCAGTGTTCACTCTTGTATATCCCATGTGTAAAACAGCACCTGGAGCATATATGTGCAAAATATTCAAAAAGTGAATGAATATAATTAAATATTAGATGAGAAATGTACCATCATACGTGAGGAAGGGAATAAATGGATAGAAAATAAATCAGCAGCTGGAATTTCTATTAGAATGGTGGGGGAAACCAGTTTTCAGATTTGGCCAGACCAGCTCTGACAGTTATGTAAACACTGGCAGTTGCTTCTGAAAATGCTTTTAGAGTGGTGTAACAGGATTGAACAGTAGTTCTATCTTTAGTTTTTTAAGGAAATCCCACACTGATTTCCATAGTGACTGTAGTGATTTACATTCCAATCAACCATGTATGAAGGTACCTGTTCTTCACATCCTTGCCGCACTTACTGTTTTCTTGAGAAAGCCATTTTGACTGGGGTGAGATTGAATCTCAGAGTTGTTTTGATTTTGATTTCCTTTATGGTTAAGGTATTGAACAAACATTTTTCATACATTTAATTAGCCATTTGTACTTTTGAAAACTTTTGTTTGCCCAGTTATTAAATTATTTCTTGGTGTTTAGTTTTTGAAGCTCATTTTTTTGCTTTCTTATTAGCATATATTAGTTGTGCATGGGGATTTCATTTTTATACTTCTATACAACATTCTTTCATGATAAAAGCTCTGAAGAGGGGCTGGGAAGTTGGCTCAGTGGTAGAGTGCTTGCCTTGCATGCATGAGGCCCTGGGTTTGATTCCTCAGCACCACATAAGGAGAAAAAAGCCAGAAGTGGTGCTGTGACTCAAGTGGTAAGGCACTAGCCTTGAGCTGGAGAGCTGAAGGGACAGCGCCCAGGCCCAGAGTTCAGGCCCCACAACTGGCAAAAAAAAAAAAAAAAAAGGCTCTGAAGAAACTAGGAACAGAGAGGGATGTACCTCAACATACTAATGGCTGTGTGACCAATATCATAGTAAATGAGTAAAAACTAAAACTATTTCTTTAAAGTCAGGAATGGGACAAAGGTGTTCATTCTCCTTACTCCTGCTCAGTATAGTACTATTATGCCCAAAAGACTAAAAACTCCATTAAAAAACTCTTAGCACTCATAAACATCACTAAAGTAGGAGGATAAAAAAACATAAGCACACAAAATCAGTAGCTTTACTTTATATCAACAATGACCAGGTTGGAAAAGCAATGAGGAAAATAATTCCATTCACAATAGACTCAAAAAAAAGTTAAGTACCTAGGAATGTTTCACTAAAGTAGTAATAGATCTCTACAATGAAACCTATAAATCTGAAGAAATCAAAGAAGACACCAGAAAAAAATGGAAAGACCTCCCATGTTTATGGAACAGCAGATTTGACATTGTAAAAAATGTATGACCAAAAGCAATCTATATAATCAGTGCAATTCCCAGAAAAATTCCAATGACATTCTTGACAGAGGTAGGAAAAATCAATCTGAAAGTTCATACAGAAAACACAAAAAACCTTAAATGACCAAAGTGATCCTGAAAAAAAGCAACACTGTAGGGCTCTGATGGCTCACACCTGTAATCCTAGCTATTTAAGAGACTGAGATCTGAGGATCATAGTTTGAAGCTAACTGGGCCTACAGTAAAGCTGTGGTTCAAGTGATAGTGCCACCCCTGAACAAAAAAGCTCAGGACAAGGCCCAAGCCCTGAGTTCAAGCCCTAGGTCCAACACACACACACAAGCCCTTAGTTCAAGCCCTAGGTCCAACACACACACACACACACACACACATGTGAGCCCAACACACACACACACCACTAGAAGTACCATAATACCTGACCTTAAAACTATACTGTAGGAGAGTAAGGGAAGGGGTGACATCCAAATGGAATGTACTCATTATTGACTTATATAACTGTAACCCTTTTAACGTCATCTTTAGAACAATTAAAAAAAATCTATACTATAGAGCTGTTGCAGCAAAAACAGCATAAAAACAGACACATAGACTAGTAGAATAAAAAATAAGGATCCAGAAATAAACCATGTAGCTTTCTACAAGGGCCAAGTACATATATTAGAGAAAAGGCTCCTTTTTAACTAATGATGCTGGGAAAACTGGATATCTGTGTACATACAGGAATCTGCTATTAGATCCCTGCCTCTTGCTCTGTACCAATATCAAAGTGGATCCAGGGATCTTTATGTAAGACCTGAAACTTTGAAACTACTACCAGAAAACAGGAAAAAGTAATGCATAGACATAGGCAGTCATTTCCAACAGGCCAACAAATAAGAGGAAGAATTGACAAATGGGATGGCTTCAAACTAAAAAGCTTCTGAAAAGCAAAAGTAACATTCACAATGAGTGATTTAATCACCAGAATGTATGTGGAGCTGAAAAAGTGAAACTGTTGGAGAATCAAAAACTGAATAGATGGACAAATGAACTGAACAGACAATTCTTGAAAGGAGAAATACAAATAGCTAAAAAATACATGAAGAAATGCTTGGCATTCCTGCAAATAAAGAAAATGCAAATAAAGCATTGGTTTAATCTCATTTGAGTCAAAATAGCATCAATACAATATGACTCAAGTGGTGGGAGTGCCTACCTATCAAACATAAGGGCCCTGAGTTCAAACCTCAGTACTGCAACGCACACACTCCCAGGAGCACCATCAACAACAAATTCTAGTTAGACACTGGTGGCTCACACCTCTAATCCTAAGTACTCAAGAGGCTGAGATTTGAGGATCACAGTTCAA